TCTTCATTGTATAGCAGGTTCTCATATGTTAGGAAAAATATTATTTGTTTTGTTGTTGTTGTTGTTTGTTTGTTTGTTTGAGGCAGGGTCTCGCTATGTAGTTCAGGCTGGCCTTTAACTCACTATGTAGCCCAAACTGGCCTCAAACTCTTGGATCCTCCTGCCTCAGCCCCACAAGTACTGGAATTACAGGTATCTGCCACCACACTCGATGGAAAAATATTATTTTGTTCCATGGATATTAATAGGTAGTTTTTAGGAATAAGAAATAGTATGGCTAGTACAGAGAAGGATGAGCTTCAGACATTCATAGCTAAATTGATGGACCTTGAGACCATACTCTTAGGTGAAATAAATTGGACACACATGTTTAAATACTGCATTGTTTCTCTGGTGTGAGGAAATGAATGTGGAAATAAAGACTGAAATGTATAATGGATGTTGGGAAATGGGAAGAAAATGTTCAAATGGGAAGGGGAACAAGGGAGAAGGGAGGGGGAATGGAAGGAAAGGACAAGAAAAAAAAGTGAAAATAGCAAAAAATGGAAACAAAGCTTTTGTACATAGGGAGGAGAGGGGGCTTGAGCGGGGAATGGGGTAAAATAAAATTTATTAATAAAAAAAGAAATAGTATGGCTAGTACATCTGTTGAAAAAAAAGCTCAACTTCTCTCAAGAATGTAAATCAAAATAATGAGTTAGCAGTTTTTAACTATCATTTGGGAAAACTTATACCTTTTGATAATACTCTGTCCTGGAGAGGGTGTGAGGAAACAGGTTGTCTCATGCTTTATTTGCTTCTGTATGGGTGGGTGGATCCTTTGACAAAGTCATCAGCTGGTTTAAAATACATGTGAATGGGCCAGGGATTTCGCTCAGTGGTTTTGCCGCCTGCTGCGCAAGCTCAAAGACCTGAGTTCGATCCCCAGTACCAAAAAAAAAAAAATACATGTGAACTAGGTGAGTATGGTGGCGGAGGACTATAATCCCAGCACTCTGGGAGGCTCAGGCAGGAGGATCAAAGTCCAAGCCCAGCCTGGGAAATTTAGCCACTTAGTGAGACCCTGTCTCAAAATTAAAAAATAAAAAAACGTTGTGTATGTAGCTCCATGGGAAGGCCCTGGGTTCAACCCCAGTTGTCTTAATTACTTCTTGTTGCTGGGAAAAAAAATAACTGACACAGACAAGTTAAAGGAGGAAAGGTTTATATTAGCTCACAGTTTGTGGAGGTTTCAGTCTCTATGGTCTGCTGTCTCCAAGGCAGGGCAGCATGGCAGAGGGGTGTGGTGGAGGAGAAATAGTCCATGGCATGGTGGCAGGAAGCAGAGAGAGATGGAGGGAGGAGAGAGGGGGCTACACCCCCAGTAACCCACCTCTCTTGAACAGGCTTCACCTCCCAACATCACATTTCACCATAAACCTATCAGGGAACTAACCCCCTGATGAATATCACACACCCACATCTAAACACCTCCCCAGACCCCACCCATGAGTGCATGAAGCTTTGGGGGGACATCTAGATATAAACCATAACATCAGTATCAAAAAGGGGGGAGACTCTTTGCTCCAGAAAGTTTTTTTAAAAAATATTTTTATTTATTTTATTTTATTTTTTTTGGTATCAGGGATCAAACTCGGGACCTTGAGCTTTCGAGGCAGGTGGCAGAACCACTGAGCTAAATCCCCAGCCCTATTTTGCTTTTTGAGACAGGATCTCACTATGTAATTCAGGTTGCCCTTGAACTCACAGTGGTCCTCCTGCCTCAGCCTCCCAAGTGCTGAGATTACAGGTGTGTGCCACCATGCCCAACTAAAATCCTGATGTTTTTAAACTAAGAAAAGGGAGACCTATTGTAAAGATGCTGAGGTACCTCAATCAACCAAAGGAAGTGTTGAGCAACCAGCCCTTAGGAGGAGACCAGTGTGGCTGGGCCTTAGGAATTTCCAGGACGAGAGGCTGGAAGGCTGAAGGCCCTTTCTTTCTTTCTTTTTTTTTTTTTCCTCGATCAAACTTGGGTCCTTGCGCTTGTGCATCAGGTGGCGAAACCTCTAAGCTAAATCCCCAGCCCTGAAGGCCCTTTCTTGTCTCTACTTGTCTTTATGTCACAGCTGCATTCTCTCTCACATAAAAGATGAGGAACACATAGAGCTGCCCAAAGCATCTAAAGTTCCTATCTTGTGGCAGGGGAGAGAGAGAGCCTTCCTGAGTTCCTGTTTGGCAAAATTCCCAGGGAAGGACTTGCCTCAGCCTGGCTGGGGTCAGGTATCCGCCCCAGGGCTGATTGACTCTGGCCAGTGAGTGAGGTCTCTAAGTGGCTGGTAGATCCTGTAGGGGCACATGGTTGAAGAAGGACCCTCTGTAGAGTCACTCATCCTGCATTTATTCTCACAGTCATGTTTTCAGCAGAGGATTTCCAAGTAGCAATAGTCCCTTGAACACAGTCAACCAGAAAGGTCTCAGCCCTCAGCCTGGGCTCCACTGCGGGAGGCGGCCTGGCAGTTAGTGTCTACTGGATACTCTCTGCCCTGGCTCAGCTAAACCTTTCTCTGGTCACAAAAGAAAGGGCAGCTGTTTGTGTTGATTGCAGAGGGGACCCCTATCGGACCAGCTTGGGATGTCATCACCATGAAGTCCCTCATGACTAAGAAACAGCAGCCTGGCATCTGTGCCACTGGGGGCAGCTGCAGCTGTTCTGAGCTGCTCACCAAGAGTCATTGGTGAAGGGAGTGGTTTCCTGTTGAGCTGAGATCTCTGGGTCTAGCTTTGAAGTCAAGGCCTCCTCAGAAGCAAAATGATTAGGCAGTCTACAATGGCTCTGTGAAATAATTTTCATTATACAAATAGAAAAGAGAGGCCCCCCCCCACAAGAAAAACTTACCCTGAGCGATGCTTACCATGAGCAAACGTTGGAATTCCTGTCCTGCACCCAGCACTAGTAGGAATAGCTGGATGCAGGGGTCAGGAAGGGAAGAACTCTGCCTGGAGACCCCCGAGAAGAATTTCTGATATGCTGACTCTGTAGGAAAAGCAAGGCAGCAAGCCGAGGCCTATGGAATTCACTGGTTTTCAGCCACAAGTTACAGCCTCAGCTAGAGATTCCCCAACAAGGTGTTGTTTTGTCCCAATGTCCGAGGCTGCAATATATGTGCTGGGGATCAAGGAAAGAGGATTTCCATTTCCCTTATTCTTAACAACTCTCCCACATGCAGGTTGGTGGTCCAAGTGTACTTTCGCCCGCTCTTCTATTTTATAAGACATGGTTTGTGTGTGTGGGTGTGATGTGTTGTTTATATAGAATATAGTAATGTCCATGGCTTGGAGAGTGGATGGAAGTCACACCTGGGCAAGGTTACTTCAACTAAAGAACACTAGACTCCTCAGTTCAGTTTTTTTGGGTGTATGTTTTTTGTTTTCATAAGAAAAAGTCTTGCTATGTAGTTCAGACTGGCCTCGAAACTCGGTGATTCCCCCAGCCTCAGCCTCCTAAGTGCTGTGACTACACCAAGCAGAGTTGAGGTTTTTGTTTGTTTAATTTATTTATTTGAGTTTTTTGAGACATCTTGCTATGTAATTCAGGCTGGCCTTGAACTCACTATGTACCCCAGGGTGGCCTCAAACTCAGTGATCCTCCTGTCTCAGCCTCTTGAGTGCTGGGATTAGAGGTCCAGCTGAGTTTAAAAAAATTTTTTTTTGAAGGGCCACTACCATAATCAATTCTGGAAATAAGACTTCAAGTTCCAATCCTGCTGGTGTAGACTGTGATTTTTCAGTTGTAGCAGTGAAAATGGGGTCATGAGAGGGTGTTTGGGGAACTAAAATATGAGAGAATCAGGATGGGTTGGTAAGGGATGGAAGGCACCTGACTACTGGCCAGTCATGGGCCTGACACACCCACTCCTTTTGTGAATAGGACAATATTAAGCCAATTCCACGACCCTTCAGTGTCTACATCCCCAATCTCTATGGTGATGGGAGCAAAGGACAGTGGTAATTGATGGATTGGTGTGAGGAAATGAGGTGTAAGGCATAAAAAGTGCTTATTCCAGCTGGGCATGGTGGCACGCAACTGTAATCCCAGTGCTTTGAGAAGCTGAGCCGAGAGGATTGAAAGTTGAAGCCCAGCCTGGGCAATTTAACAAGACCCTGTTTTAAAATAAGAAACAGGGGGCCCTGGGATTTAACTTGGTGGTTCCAGTGCCTGCCTCGAAAGTGCAAGGTCCTGAGTTCAATCCCTGGTACCAAAAAATAAAAATAAAAAATAAAATAAGAAACAGGTGTGGGGATGTGGCTCAGTGTGAAGGCTCTGGGTTTGATTCTCAATATGGGGTGCGGGGTGAGTGTGTGTGTGTGTGTGTGTGTGTGTGTGTGTGTGTATGTGTTGGTGTTTATTCCAGCACTTCCTGAGGAACACCTGGACAGCTTCTTGAAAATATGGATTCCTAGCACCCCATCTCTCCCAACTTTACAAATCAGGTTTCTTTGTCAGGTGACCAATGAGAGTGGGTCAAGACTTTAAGTAACAATAAAAGGATCAATTAAGGTCTGTGTGCTTTGGGCCGCGGGTTGGGGTAGATAGTACTACCATCAATGACCACAAGGTGGCAGCAGGGAATGGCAAGGAGGAACAAGTCTGGCAGGTGTCAGATTCAGACTGGTAGGGGCGGGCTGACCTGGGGATTAGGTTATGGAAGGAAGTGGGGGCCCTGCATTGTGCAGCATGGTCTCATTTTCCAGTTGGAGTATGCTACTGCAGACTAATCCTCTGTGAGTGCTGCTTTCATAACCAGGTGTTTATGGAGTTTCCTTTTTACCAAAGTCTGCTGATAGGAACTGTGTTAGTGTGACCGTGGGAGGCTGTGGGTGGTGATAGTGACAGTGTATGTTCCACATGGGTGAGCATGGGAGGCAAGGGCTGTTTACATCCCCAGAAATGTTCATCAAGCAGAGTCACCTAAGCAGGTCAGCTCAGTCAAAGGGCACCACCAGCGTGTGTTGAAAGCATGTCCCCGTCCCCTGTTGCAGGTGAGTGTTTCTGGGTGCTGTTAGAGGCCTGCTCTTCTTAGGAGAGATCAGATCTGCAGCTGGAGAGCTGGCTGAAGACTGGGCAAAGGATGCTGGGATGGAGCGTGGGCAGGGAGCCCAGCCAGGATGGGGCAGCTGCCTCTGGAAGCAGCCAAAATGTCCTCAGCTATAGCAGGGGCGGGTAGAAGGATTAGGTGACAGTCCCCTAACCCAGCCCGGAACTAACACCCTCCTCTCCCTCACATATGCACCCAAGCTTGCCAAAGCTCAGAATAACCCAGAGAAGCAGACAGCAGGATGACAGGGGCTTTGCTCGGTGCCCTGCTCCTCCTGGGGCTCCTTGGTAGGGACAGGGTCAGGGGAGGCAAGTGGACAGACACCAACATGAAGGGACAAGGATAAAGATAGAGACCCAAGACATAGGCTAAGACATTATATATGTGGTCCTGAGGCTTAGGAGACAGACCACAGCCTCAGGAACCTACGGAGACCCAGAGGGGCAGAGAGGCCCTTCCGGCTCTTCCTGTCCAGTGACTCTTCTTTCCTAATCCCCTCCCAGGCAGAGGTGAGGGGAAGAATGAGGAGCTGAGTCTTTATCACCATCTTTTCAACAACTATGACCCAGAGTGCCGGCCTGTGAGGGGGCCTGAGGACACTGTCACCGTCAGCCTCAAGGTCACCCTGACCAACCTCATCTCACTGGTAAGACGCCCCACTCCCATCCATCCGGAGCCTCAAAGCCCACCTCTGGCCCCCAGCTGCTGAGCTCTGCTCTAAAGCTCACTTCTTGGCCCTGAAATCGGGCTTTACTCACCTCAATCTCCCTGCTACAGAATGAGAAGAAGGAGACTCTCACTACCAATGTATGGATTGGAATCGTGAGTCAAATCTGGGGAGCAGTGTGAGGTTTGCCCAGGGCACTCCTTTCTTCCAAACGCCTCCTGGGCAGCACCAGCGGGGAAATGCACAGCAAACGTCCTTCTGTCACCCTTCTTAGGACTGGTATGATTACCGACTTAACTACAGCAAGGACGACTTTGGGGGCCTAGGAACCCTCCGGGTCCCTTCCGACCGCGTATGGCTACCAGACATTGTGCTGGAAAACAAGTGAGGACCGTCATTCAGGATGCCAGGCCGCTGAGCAGCCGGCCCGGGGATGGGGCGGGGGTGGGGGTAGATTTGCTTGGGGCAAGAGGTGCTTGGATGCGGGTTCAGACCGTGAACTAGCTTGGTTTTCTCGGGCCCACAGTATTGATGGCCAGTTCGGCGTGGCCTACGATGCCAACGTGCTGATCTGCGAGGGAGGCCACGTGTCCTGGTTGCCTCCAGCGATCTACCGGAGCACCTGCGCCGTGGAAGTAACCTACTTCCCCTTCGACTGGCAGAACTGCTCGCTCATTTTCCGGTGGGAGGAGTCATTTAACACAACCTCCCCACGATTGTGGGCGGAGCCCGATAGGGAAGTGGGATCTCTGGGGTGGGGCTTTGCCTGGAGGCGGAGCCAAGCTTTGGAGTGGGGTCAATCACTGCAGCTGGATTTAAAGAATGGCGTCCCAGCTACTCCGGAGGTTGAGTCAGAATGATCGCTTGGGCCCAGGAGTTAAGAGACCAGCCTGGGCAACATACATAGACCCTGACTCAAAAAACAGACACGAAGGGCTGGGGATGTAACTCAGTGGTAGAGCGCTTGCTTAGCATGCGCAAAGCCCAGTTAAATCTCCAGTATTGCAAAAAACAAAACACGAAGTACGGGTGGAAATTAGGGTGTGTAGACAGGCCAGGGTAAAGGGGAGGTGCCTTATTACCAGGTTCGAACTTCTGGGGTGAGGGCCCTGGTCCTGGTTTCGCAGCTCTCAGACTTACAGTGCCAAAGAAGTGGAGTTCATCTTTGACGTGGGCGACGATGGCGAAACCATCAACAAGATCGAAATCGACACCGAAGCCTTTACTGGTGAAATGTCTCTCTTGCTCCAAAAGCCAGCTTCCAGAAGGGTTCCAAAAAAGGGACTTTCAGAGTGAGGTTGCCCCAGACCCTACACACACACACACACTCACAGGGATTGTCAGTAACCTGTTTTAACTTGCCAGAACCTTTTTTTTGCTTTTGTTTTTGTTTTGGTGCCGGCGATCTAACTCGGGCCCTTGGGCTTGCGAGGCAGGCAGTGGAACCACTGAGCTAAATCCCCGGCCCCGGAATCATTCTTGATTGTCCCACTAGTCCTGTCTCTCACTTGAGGTCTTTCTATTACCCTGAGAATGGCTTTTTGTACCCGAATTTCCCCCATCCTGCCAGCCCCTGGCCCAAGCTGTCCACCCTAACCCAGACAGCTGCATCCTCCTCCTCGGCCTGGAGTTGCAGGTTTCAGTGGTGGCCAGAAAGCAGCACAGGGCATCCCACCTCTGAGAGCAGCTGACTGCACCTCTCACCCTGCAGAGAACGGCGAGTGGGCCATCGACTTCTGCCCGGGGGTGATCCGCCACCAAGACCGTGGCTCCGCAGACCACCCCGGAGAAACTGATGTCGTCTACACGCTCATCATCCGCCGGAAACCGCTGTTCTACGTCATTAACATCATCGTACCTTGCGTGCTCATTTCAGGCCTGGTGGTGCTGGCCTACTTCCTGCCCGCACAGGGTAAGGGGTAACCCCAAAGCTACACCAGGGCTTGCTCCCCGGGTCGGGGGCCACTCTCACCGGGTTCTCTCTCTAGCTGGTGGCCAGAAATGCACTGTCTCCATCAACGTCCTGCTGGCCCAGACTGTCTTCCTGTTCCTAATTGCTCAGAAAATCCCAGAGACATCTCTGAGCATGCCGCTGCTGGGCAAGTAAGGACAGAGTGGGTCTTGAGGTCACCCGCGCAGGGGCGGGGCCAGGTGAGCGTGAGGCGGGAGCCAACACCGAGTGACTCTAGGAGAAACTGGCTGTTTGGACCCCTCGTGGACTTTATTTGGACACAGGGTGGTGCTAGGGTGGTGATGGATGCTCTGGTCCCTTGTCCTCCTCACTGCTGCTGGAAGCCACCTTGAGGTCTCCTGAGTGTCTCTGTTGGGGGACAGTCCGGCTCAGTGTCTCCTTAGCCCCATCTCTGGCCCCCAGAGGACACGCCCCCCACCCTGAACTCACTGGCTCCCCGGGGATTCCGAGGCCCAGCTGGCGTGGCCACTGTTGCAGGAATGAAGCGGACCCCTGCAGACCCTGTCCACACAGACACAGCCACATCCCCTGGACCAGGAGCCGGGCACTCCAGCCCGCCACAGCCCTGGCTTGCAGAGCCCCATGCCGGGCAGCCTGAGCTACCCGGGCCAGTACTCCACCCGGATCTCTGGCGTCTGCAGCTGGGCCTGGGCTGCTGTCGCTGCTGTCCAGTCCTCGCGCTTCCTGCTGCAGCCAAAAGGCTGATATCTGCGTTGGGGGTACAGGGGCTAGTGAGGGTGTGAGCTGCCTGTTCCCAGTGCTCTATACCCATCTCCCCTGGCCCCTCTTCTCCCCACATTTTCTCACTTCCCACCCCCACCACAGCCCCACACCTCTAACAAGGTGGTGCTGCAGCTCATGACGTTGGCCGACACTTCTCTTAGCACCAGCCCTAGGGTGGGCTCCTCAGGCTCCTGCAGCTCCGGGGACTTCAGCGAACCTCTGCTCCAGATATTCATGGGCTGCAGCCATCGCGAGTTCCAGGGAAGATAGAATCGGGGGCTGGAGAGCCACCTGGAAAAGGAGCAGGGCCAGTGGAGTCGTGGGGTCACAGGGCAGGGGTCCTGTTGCGGGGACCTCCCCAGAGGTTCTCCAGATGCTGCCCTTGCGTGGGCCCTTCTCGTAGCCTCACCTCGGTGGAGCTGTGATAGTGGTAGACCCACAGCAGAGTGTCCAGGGAGCTGGGGGTCCCATTCATGGCCGCCGCAGGTGGTAGGAGGGGTAGAAGGGTCAGGGAAGCGGCTGGCCTAGCAGCCCCTGGCAGAGAGGCGTTTGTGAGGTCAGAGGACCAGCTTGAGGGAGTGGGGAGGTGGTGATGACAGAGAAGCTGGGATGCTGTGAAGTCACGCACCCCGGGCTCCTCAGGTATCTCCTTTTCGTCATGGTGGTCGCCACACTCATAGTCATGAATTGCGTCATTGTGCTCAATGTGTCTCTGCGGACGCCCACCACTCATGCTACATCCCCGAGGCTGCGCCACGTAAGGCCAGGGTTGGGGAGCCCAGGGGTGCGCCAAAGTGAACCCTCGGAGGGGCGTGGCTTAGCTGATCCTCGTCCTCCGACCCAGGTTTTATTGGAGCTGCTGCCCCGCCTCCTGGGGTTGGGACCGCCCTCTGAGGCTTCCCAAACCGCCGCGTCCCCTAGGCGGGCGTCCTCCGTGGGCATCCTGCTCCGTGCAGAAGAGCTGATTATGAAAAAGCCACGGAGCGAGCTCGTGTTTGAAGGGCAGAGGCACCGGCACGGGACCTGGACAGGTGAGCACTGTGACCTTTGTAGCCCAACGAGGGCCCCTGCCGGGGGAGCCCCTCTTAATGACCCAGCCCAGCGTTGCCCCACCAGCTGCCCTCTGCCAGAGCCTAAGCGCCGCAGCCCCCGAGATCCGCTACTGTGTGGATGCTATGAACTTTGTGGCTGACAGCACGCGAGAGCAGGAGACAATCGGCGAGGTGGGTTAGGAGCCAGAGAAGGCTCTGCAGAGCACCCCGCCACCCCAAACACCTCCCTTCAGACTCGGCTCGCGCTGTCCTTTCTCCAGGAGGCGTCGGACTGGGTGCGCATGGGGAAGGCCCTTGACAACGTCTGCTTCTGGGCTGCTCTGGTGCTCTTCAGTGTAGGTTCCAGCCTCATCTTCCTGGGGGCCTACTTCAACCAAGTGCCGGATCTCCCCTACCCGCCATGTATCCAACCTTGAACCTGTGCCTGCACAGACTTCGACTGTCCCACCTACTTTAGCAAGAAATAGATTCTGAAAAACAAGCTGCTGTCTTATGAGCTTCCCAGTAGAAACTGAATGTGCCCATGTGGGTAGGCCTGGCCCCTGTACTGGAGGGCGATAGGCTGACTCTTGGTACCAATCCTCAGAGATCAAGGCTTCAATGATGACCTCACTTCAGTGCTTCTTTCAGCCTCAAGGTGTTTTGTTTTGTTTCGTTATCTGGGATGGAACTCGGGACCTTGTGCTTTCAAGACAGGCAGTGGAACCACTGAGCTAAATCCCCAGCACCGCGCCTACCTCGAAAGTGCAAGATCCTGAGTTCAATCCCCAGCACCAAAAAAAAAAAAAGGTGGATGAAAAGGCCTTGATTTTGTCATTTTGCCAGACTTTTGTTCCTGCAATGTTTTCCAAATGGTCATTCTCTAGTCCCATCATTATTTCTGATTTTTCTTTTAAGACAAAAAAAAAGTATGTAGCTCAGGCTTGCTTTGAACTCTGAGATCCTCCTGCCTCAGCCTCCAGAGTGCTGGGATTATGGGTGTGCACCACCATACCTCACTAGGCCTATGATCTTCTAGACAATTTTATTCAGTTGATAGCAATTAGCAAACCCTTTTGCAGGATCTGCACATGACAAGCCCTTTGCTTCTCCAGCTGGCTCCGCTGGTGTGGGCTGGGATCATACACCCTCACTGAAGGTCATCCACAGGTTTAGGCCTGAGGATGCCCTGGCCTCCCTCAGGCATGTCTGGTTTTCTTGGCCCAGCACAGAGTACCCCGACAAGACTCACTTATCAGATTCCATACCCCCTACTCCTCTATTCTAACTCTGCTAGTAGCCAGGGTAGTGAGAGAAAACAGTAACATAGGGCCCAATATGGTGGGTGCTGGTTGAATCGTCTTTATTAACAAACGGGATATCCAAGGCCACTACATTGAGGAGGGGCAGGGCAGGGAAGAGAAGGGCTACTTGCTGCTCACACTATATACAGATGCAAGCAAAGGGGTGTGGAGGGTGAGAGCTCCCTGCTCTCTCCCTCCACCAGGAAAAGGGAGAGGCTAGAAGAGATGGGAGCTGGAAAGGGGGAATATTTTGGTTGGCGGGGTCCCCCCTCCATTCCCTGGGGTTTGAGCGGGAAAGGAATCGTTAAAGTGCTTTCAGAAAATGAGGAAATGGTCCCTAACCCTGGAGTGGCCGGTGACCGCCCCCCCCCCAGAACTTAGGGCCCAGTGACCCCCCCCCAGAGTCTGGTACATTCAAGGGGGGAGCCGGCTCCCCTGACGTGCAAGTAAAGGGGTCCAGGGCCCTGCCCAGTCAACAGCAGTGGGGTAAGGGGTCTGAGCCCCAAGCACTCTCCTAAGTGGAGAAAGGGGGTGGGGGAGGCCCAGTCTACTCCTGGTAAGAAGCTGTGTCCCTCCCCAAAAGTTGGGGACAGGCACAGTTTCAGAGAGAGAACATGTTGGGGAAAGGGACAGTCACATGATCACAAAAGCATGACGGGTGGTTGGAGGTCACGTTCCCAGCAGGCTCCAGTGAATTAAACCAGTAAAAGCAAAAGCCCAGGGAAGAGAATGGGGGCGGCTGGGGAAATGTGGCTGGAGGAGCTGGTCCAGTGTGGGTGGCCCCAGCCCGGCCATCACCAGTTCATAATGCAGTTCCGGTTCAGGGTCATGAAGTAAACTTGGCTGCTGCCCCCAGAGCGGACGGAGGCAAAAAATACCTGGATGAGGAGGAGAGAAAGTCACCAAGGGCTGGGATGTGGGCTGAGGGCTCAATCAGAGAGTGAGAAAGGGAAAGAAAGAAGGGCTGGGGATGTGGCTCACTGGCACAGCACTTGCCTACAATGTGGGAGACCTGGGTGATCACCATCAAAAGAGGGGTAGGGGGAGACTGACTGCAGAATGGGCTCAGGGTGCCTCTCCTACCCCAGGGAAAGACAAAAGCTATGCCACCAGATCTCTGGGGTGGGGGCAGCTCAGAGCCAACAGAGGGGGAGGCAGAGGCTGTGACTATACATTCTGCCTCCAAGGGGCTGGATTTTAGGAATTCACCACAACCATCCTCTCCCCAGATCCCTGGCCCAGGGCCTAGGAACCAGCCCTGCACAGGCGCTTGGGAAAGAGCCTCCCACCTTGTCATTCCGCTCACACAGGAACTTCAGCCTCTGGGCCCGTTTGTGCATGAAGACCCCATCCAGGTGTCCTGTCTCCACAGAACGGATCTCAATGGCTTTCTCACCCCAGCCCATTATCTGGTTGGAGCAGATGTAGGCTGCAGGGAGGTAGGAGAAAGGCAGTGAATGGCTACATTTGTGGGCCACCTCAGGGGCAAGCAGCTTGGAGGGCAGCCCTTCACGCACCCACAGAGGTGGGCATCTCTCCCCACTGCAGCACCACATCTTTAATGATCCGCCCGTACGTGTTGACATAGACACCCTCATCTTCATAGCACAGCAGCATCTCCATGCCATCGGTGTTGGGGAGGAAGATGATGGCATGGGGTGTGATTTGGCTCTGGATCTGGGGAGGAGAAGGTGCACTGGTCTCTCCATATCTGGTGCCAGACTGTGAGGTCCCGCTCTCCCCTCAGCTCCACCAAGCTCACATGCACAGGGATGTAGATGTCATAGCTGTTCCCCGAGTCAACATCCACAGCATGGAAGCCAGCACTGGAGCCATAGATGACCTTAAGCCGCTGTCCCTCCTCTACCGTCAGGTCGACCAGCAGAGGGCGGTGAGGGAGGTCAGCAAAAGACTGTGGAGGAGAGAAGCGCTCAGAGGGACAGGTGGAGTCAGACCTCGGAACAGTACTGGGAGGCTGAGGCTGGGATTACCTTGAAGGCCATGAATTTGTGGTAGGGTTTGGGGGCCCAGGCATACACCTCCACAGAGTTCTTCAGGGCAATAACGAGGAACTTAATGCGCTCATATTTCACTGGGGGCAAGAAAGGAGGAGGATGTGGGGACTCTCCTTTTGAGGCTGTAGATCCCTTCCCCAAGTCTCTCACCTTGCTGCTCCCCAAGCCTAGCCCCATCTCTGGCTTTGAAGCTTCCACAGCATTTAACCCAAGCCCCATTTCTCACAGACCGCCCCATGTGACATCCTCACCGACACGGTAGTGTCCGCAGCCCTCCATGTCCCCCACAGTGGTCCAGCCCTGCTTCTTCTCCACCTCTGGGTCATTGTGCAGGATCTTGTTCCGGAGCCAGGACAGGTAATACACCCGTAGTTTGTTCCTTTTCCCTGAGGGATGGACACACATCCACACACACACACACACACTCTCCCATCCTCCTTGGAGGCCCAGTGCTGCCTCTTACCATCCTGTCTGCATATCACAAGGGGTGAGAAAATGTGGCCCCACCTTGCAGGTCCTAGGCAAGGCTGCCCTCCTCCCAGGCTGAAGATGGTGACAGAGCTGAGGAGCTGGCACACACATACCTGAGATGGTGATGAGCAAGTTGAGCCCTTCCAGTACATCCATTTGCTGGAAGCGTCGCCGCCCAATGAGTCCATACACCTTGCCCTGCCCGCTTCGGTCCAGCAACATTAGCCCGTTCTCTGTACCCACCAGCAGGTTGACGCCTGCAACAGCAGCCCTTGCGCAGGTCAGGCACAGAGCCAGGCCCTCACCTGAACAGGAGCAAGGGAGAAACACCAGACCCCTCTCTGCCCTCCAGCCCAGCTTACCCCAAAGGGCCGCACAGAGGATCTCAGAGTTGAATCGCTTCTTGTACTTCCGAATCTCAGGAGTTTCACTGTGAGCCCGGGTGTTGGTAGGATTCACATTGACCACAGAGCCTTTTCTCACATCATACTGCAGCTGATCTAGCCGAGCTCCCTCTCCACCCACGAGGGCTGCCAGGAGGAAGAGAAGGGAGGTTGGGCTGCATTCTCCCAAGTTTCTCTTTACCTCGATGCCCCTATATCTGGTTTTGGCACCCCAGAATATTCAGGCGGGAACAGAAAGACTGTAGAACAGAGGAGGTGCATGGAAGAGGAAAGGGCCCTGCTTGAAGTCAAAAGGCCTGGCTCAAGTCCTAACTGCACTACTCATCAATTTCAAACTTTTGCCCAGGCTCCTTGGCCACTCTAAACTTCTGCCTCCTCTGTCAAAGGGGTTCAGAAACCCTCCCTCGCCTCTGTGCCAGGGCAGGGAGCCAAGGCCCAAAGGAGAAGGTCCATTATCTATGCTTTATAAAACTGTGTCCTCAGAGTCACCTGTGCCCCCCTCCAGGCCTTCTCTGGACCTTGGCCTCATGGCAGATCTCACCTGTGATGGGGATGGTATCCCCACTGCCTCCAGGCTGGTAGATTCCTAGATCCACAAACATGGTGAACGAGCTCTTGCCAGGGGCCTTTACCAGGCCACAAGACTGGTACTGTAGGGTAAGGGCAGCAATCAGGCAAACAAGGGTGACTCCAGACTATGGCCCAGCCCTCCCAGGTCCCCGGAGAAGTTCATGGGGTTCTGGCCCACCTATTTCAGTGCCCCTAGAACCCCTGGCTCTCCTGTGCATTTCCAAGATACTTCTTCCACCCCATGCACCTGCTCCGGCCTACTTACATCACTGCTTCCATCCTTTGAGGGGGGACTTTGACCTTTGCTGTTCTCGGTAGGTGAGTGGCTAGGCTGGACCACGTCTGGAAGGTTCGTGTAGCCATTGCTGTCAGCATGCAACAGGCTTCGTTCCTCCTCAGGAGTCTAGAGAACAGAGGCAAGGTCAGCTCTGGGGGTAAGGGGGGCTTGCGGCAGGCATGGGAAAGGTGGAAGGCTCACTTACACGCTGGACCACCATGGTGCCACCCCCGTATGGCGGCTGGCTCCCAGCTATCTCCTCAACATCGTGAACCACCATGGTGCTGATACTGTCTGTGTCTCCATCGCTGCTGTGGGAGAAAGGAAGGTGGGGCCTTCTAGGTCTTGCCACCCGAGTGGCACAGGTGCAGGTGACAGCCATGGACTCGGGCTTTCAGTCTCTTCAAAACACATCTGCTCAGCCCCCACTGAGCAGTCAGGTGTTTGTTCCCTGCAACACGTTCAGGGCAGGCTGGCACCTGAGCCGTCCTAGAAGTAACCCATAACTGACAGAATAGCAGGAAAGTCAGGAACCCAGTGCCCACACTCCGTTCTCTAGAGAATGGGGATCACAGTCCCTCAGACACAACCACATTCTGACCCCTCACCCCCTATCCTCTGACAGGGGAGGCCCTGCCCCAGGAGGCTCCTTACCGCCCCCCAGGGGTGTCTCTGCTCCCCTCTGATGGTTCACCATCGCCTTCTTCCTCATCATCTTCACTGCTCTCCACCTCCTCACTGGATGATGAATAGTCCATGGCTTTCTTGGGTGGCCGGGAGGCTTCATCCAAGGTTCGCTCTTTCAGCAACACAAAATCCTGCAGGGAAGGACAGGCATGAGTGGCGGGCACAGGGCACTGGACAGAGGCAGTACAGCAGGTGCCAGAAGAGACCTGGGCAGGGAACAGGAGAGGGCTCCCACAGTGGCTGTCTCACTAACCTCACCAATCGCTCGCTTATAGCTCTGGGAAGGGCCGCAGGGCAAGAAAGGCAGCCAGGAAGAGGTAGGAGAGATGGTAAGAAAGGTTAGTAACTTGAGATGTGCCTGTCCCTAGTCCCCGTAATCCCCAGGATTAGTAAAGACCCCACCCTTGACACTCCACCCTGTGCCCACCCACCCAAGTTCTGAAGGTTCCACATCCTGTCTGAATGCCACACCAGGATAAGGCAGGGCAGGGCCACACCCGCCACCAGATGACTCACTGCGGGCCGGCCTGGCCGTGAACGATGGTCATCAGGCTTGGCTTTGTTCCCAGGGGAGAGCACTGGGGAGCTGTCCAGTTTGGTGGAGGCTGGACCGAGCAGGGTTTGAGAAGGGAGGTTACTGACACCTTGGCAGGTGATAGCCCCAAGCCTATACCCTAAGCTGACCCCATGACCCTGAGCCGAGTTCAACACTATGTTCCATGCCCACCCAGGTCCTCTGTGCCCCTGATAGGTATTCCAGACCAAAGCCACCAAAGGCGGAGACAAGCTGATGCCAGGCAGGGCCAGGAATTTAGCTCAGTGGCACTGCCCCTGTCTTACAAGCGCAAGGTCCGGAGTTTGATCCCTGGTACCAAAAAAAAAAAAAAGACTGCAACCAGGCCCAGAGCAGGCTGCAGGGTGCAGGCTCACATACCTCCCACACGATTTCGATTTCGTTCCAGCGAGCCAGCCTGGGGGAGGTGCCCATGAGAGGCTGGGAGGACACTGTCGGAGCGCTCCCAGCCGGGGTCACTCCTCCTGAGGTCCGGGTTACTGTGAAGGGGCAAAGTCAGGGTCAGGGAGGCAGGTGGTGTCTTCCCTGGGGCTTTGAGATTCACTGCAGAGGGAGCCATCACCAGGGGAAGCAGGTTGCAAAAGTGAGAAGTGAGAGTGAGTGGGGGGACAACTCCATTACCTAGAGGCGTTGGGCGGGCCAGGGGGCTGAGCAAGGGGCCCTGGAGACTTGGGGGTGCCCCGCTCTGCCCGCCTTTGCAGATAGATTTGCCAGGCGGAGTTGCTGCGAGGTCTGTGGAGGGAGCACAGGGTGCCGGGGGGGGGGGCCAGGAGGGGCTGTGGTGATGGGGTTGGGGCTGGCTCACCCCTAAGCAGGTAACTGGGTAAAGTCCCCTATGCCCCTTACTCTCTAGGCTGCTACCCAACCCCAACCCAGTATTACCTGGCACGGACAGCCTGAGCTGGCCGGGACGCTCCGGCCCCACTGGTGTTAAGGGCAGTGGCAATAGATGAGGTCCTCTGAGGTACCTGGGAAGAGGTGAAAAAGTGGTCAGTGTACACTGCGCCCTCTCTACTTCCAGAGAGGTGGACACCCCACTTCCATGATAAGCAAACTGAGATTCAGGGAAGTTAGTGAACATGTTCAGGTTATGAAGCTGGGAAATGACAGTGCTGAGATTCTATCTAGGAAGGCTGCCTCATAATGCTCCAAAACACCCTGGGCAATTTTCCATACCCTCACTTACCACTGGGATCAATGGGACACAGCTATGTGTCTTCCCACCCTCTGGACAGTTAACCTCTGCAAGGCAGGGGCCAGAATAGCTATCTTCTCTTTTTCTTCCCTTCCCACTCTGAACACTCTATCTTGCCTGCCCCTCCATTCTCCCTCTTTCCTTCCCCCCCATCCTCTGCTTTTTGCTGGTCTTACAGCTGTCCTTACCTTGGGTGGGGCCTCATTATCTGGCCGGACCCAGGCTGGGGGGTTCGGGGAGGGACCAGGCCCTTCAGACGTGGGATCTGAATTCTGGCGGATGACAGCTCCTCGGGCACTGGGCGTGGCAGTGGGTGTGGGGATGGCAGGGTCAGGGTCGTGGGAGGCTGGGAAGGCAGCCAGGTTTCTGGTGGGCTGGTCCTGCAGGGACTGGGATCGGGGTACAGGTGCTGCATATGGCTTCAGTGGGACCCGGTGTGCCACCAGGCTCTGCAGGGAGAGACCAGGGAAGTGGGCTGCCTGCTCTGTGACATATCCCCAACTGCAAGCTGGGGTCTGGGCTGAGAAGAGGCACTACTCCCCCCTTCCTCCATCAAAGACCAGAGGTTGGGCCAGGGTTTAGCTCAGTGGTTTCACTGACTGCTGCACAAGCGCAAGGACCAGAGTTTGATCCCAGGTACCAAAAAACAAAAAACAAAAAGACAAAAAAACAAAAAACCCCAGAGGTTCCTGGAGCCCAAGAATAAGAAGTAGGAATAACACATGCAGCAGCAGCAAGCAGGTAACTGTATCTGTTCATGTAGCCTGTGTTTCATGATCCTGTGAGTGAATGTGTGTATGGATGTGGATATGTATGCCTGTGTATACAGACAGGTGTGTGTAGCTCTGCTCTGAGCGTGTTTCCCAGTGTCTGTGAGTTAAAGACAGGATCAGGGAGAGACTCACCTTGTGTGGTCCCTCCTGAGGCTCCACTGGCCTCTGCATAGGAGGAGTTTGGGAAAGAGGCCCTTGGGGGCCGGGGGAGGCTTGGGGGATGGGAGGCTCTGGGCCTGTGCTGCTTGTCTTGGTCTTGGCCAAGGGAGAGTTCTGCTGCTTGTTCATCCTTGTTCTCTCTTCTACCTGTGATGCAAAAAGGTGTCAAGCAGATCAGCTCTTACCTCCTCGGTCTCAAAACTTAGGTCCTCACTTTCTCCAGATGCTCCTTCCCCTTCTCAGTGCCCATTACTGTGGGACAAGTGCTTCTCACACTCTCCAGGCCTCAGGCAGTGGACTGGTACAATGGACTCTTAGGGGGCAAAGGAGGCAGTGAGTACCTCTCGAGCCCAGGCTGGTTTGTCAGCAGGATTGATGCCCCGACCATAATGATACAGAGGCTTTCTGTCCCCAGGCAGGATCTGCTGCTGCTGCTGCTGCTGCTGCTGCTGCTGCTGTTGCTGCTGCTGCTTCTGAAGTTGCTGCTGCTGCTGCTGCTGCTGCTGCAGGGACTTGAGGTAGGCATGCTCCTGCTGCAGCTGCCTTTGGAGACGTTCGGATTGCCGCTGCTCCTCTAGCTGCTTCCGCTTGTATTCCTGGGCCCAAGGGTAGGGAGAGAGGGCTTAGCAGGGTGTGGCCATGGAAGTTAGAGCAGGCTGACCCTTTCTTTCCTCCAACTGCCTAGAGAGGAGCTGCTTTCCCGTGACATCTTGGGTAAGACCCTTCCCCTGAAGTATCCCCATCCCAGTCCAGCAAAACAACTCTGGACAGCATCTTCCCAAGGATGCTGAGGGACCCCGTTACCAGCAGTAGGGCCTGTTCCTGGAGCAGCTGTTGCTGAAGGATCTCGAGCTGTCGCTGCTCCTCCTCTAGCCTGTGACGAATATATTCCTGGGGGGTAGGGTGGGGTGGGGGCACAGGGCAGGGAGAGAGGGAGAGGTGGCAGAGGAGGGGCAGCAGCAGCCACAAGGGATCAGCAAAGTGAGGATGAGGGGGGTGCAGGAGAAGATGAGTGCCAGGGGGTAATACAGCACAGATGGGAAGAATAGGGCACAGGGAATGAGGAGGAAGCAGGTGGGTACCATGAGGGAAGGTGCAGCGGAGAGGAATCAGAAATGGATAGAGATGGGGAATGAAGGCACAGAGACAGGAGGGCAGGGAGCCAGGGTTGGGGGTTGAAGGGTGGGAGAAAACAGAGAGAAAGAGTGAAGCTAGAAAAGATAGGAGGAATCTAAGGGTAGGGGAGCAAAGGGTAAAGGGCACTGGGGAGCAAGGGAGGCAGGCAGCAGGTGCAGGGGAAGGGTAGACAGGGAGGACAGAGGGCAGATGGGGAGGTGGGTGTGTGCTGGTGGCCAGTACCTGCTCTCGCTCAGCCTGCCGCCGCTCCTCCTCCCGCCGCAGAGCCTGAATGTCCTCCAGCCGCCGCTGCTGCTCCTTTTCCTGCAGCTTCCGCTGTTCACGCTCTCGACGCTGTTGCTATGGGCGAAGGGGGAGGTGATCTTAAGGAATGTGTCAGATGCTATGATAGCATAGTCCTGACGGAGGACCCCTCCATGGACAGTGGGGGACAGGTCTCCTTGTTCAATAGAGACGATAGCATGAGAATGTCTTCAATGTGTTTCTATCAATATACCTCACCTTGAACCAGAACCTGCAGGGGCTTGGCTTGGGGAAGGTGGCTTAAGGTAGCCATGGGTGTGGGACTAAAGAGGACGAGAGCTGAGTGCTGCCCTTGGAGTGGGACGACACCTTCCTCTGCCCACTGCCTCACTGCCCCACCAAACAACGAACAGAAACAAAAGTCAACAGGAAAACCCCCCTTTCATGCCTGGCCTCTTATCTACCTTTCTGCTAAATCCAAATAGAGTAGGCACTAGTGATAGTCTTTGGCCACCAGAGGGCATCAGGTGGCTGTGCACAGAAAAGCAAATTTTGGATTTAAAGAACTGGCCTTGACAAATCATTGAGCTCAGGTTGCATTTGATTTTCATAATCTTCTTAACCAGAGTCTGCTCCCCGCAAACAACAACAATAAAAAAAAAGCCAAGTTCAGCCAGCCTCAGTGGTGTTTACACTTGAAGGAAACTTGTGCTTAACTGGTAAAGTTGCAGCAGGCCTTTCCCAATGACACCTTGTTAGACCAGATTTTGTTCCTCCTCACCTAACACCATACAGTATTTACCAAAAAAAACCTCCAGAAAACCCTTTTGTAGCAGGCTTTCTTGCAAATTAGCTTTTGTTCAACAAAGGGGCCTGCTTGAAGGAGTAGATGGTTAAGAATGTTACCAAAGGGTGGGGAACTCAAGCTCAAGGACCAGAGTTTGATTCCAATACCAAGAAAAGAAAAGAAAAGAAAAGAAAAGAAAAGAAAAGAAAAAAAAAGTTACTACCTAGTGCCTATTTAGACAAATCTGTGTTATATACAGCCATGAACTCTGCAATCAAGTAATTGTTTCAACAAAAACACATTCATTTAAGGCATTTAGCTAAGGGAGGGCTGGGGAATGGGGAAAAAATAAGAACTAAGAGAGATTATGTAAAGGTGCAAATTTCCAATGATGAATGTCATTATACTGTATACCTAAAATGTACGAATAAAATTAATTAAAAAAAACAACCCAAGCTAAAGGCAGGCATGGTGGTGCTTGCCTGTGCTTTCAGTTACTTGGGACGGTGAAACTGAAGATCAGTTGAGCCCACAAGTTTGACTCCAGCCTAGGCAACAAAGCAATGCCCCATCTCAAAACAAAAACACCAATCTAAGCCAGGCATGGTGGTGCACACCTATAATCCCAGCACTAAGGAGGTTGAGGGCGGGGAAGGATCTCAAATTTCGGGCCAGCCTGGCCTACAAAGTATAAACCTGTTTAAAAAACAAAAAACACAAAAAATACTGATATATATATGATCTATACCCCTCCTTCCCCACCAAGTACCTCTGTAAAATAAGTACATTTAAAAAAAAGTTTACAGGTATGCTTACATACACACATGTATTTTAATTGATGACATTAAAAACTGCACTTAAACTAAAATAAGATTCTCCATTAATTAAAATGAATTTCCCTCACACCTCTAATTAGTCCAAACAAACAAGATTGCACCTTATAAAAAAAAAATCTATGCCAAAATAACCAAAAGTAGCCTGATGTGGTGGCACATGCCTATAATTCCAGCTACTCGGGAGGCTGTGGCAGGAGGACTGCAAGTTAAAGGCCAGCCTGGGCAACTTCACAAGACTGTCTCAAAAAAAAAAAAAGTAGCCAGGGATGTAGCTCAGTGGCGCCATGCCTGCCTGGCAAGTGCAAGGTCCTGAGTTTGATTCCCTGTGTGTGTGTGTGTGTGTGTGGTTAAAAAAAAATAAGAGTTGGACATGTAGCTAAGCATTCCTTGGGCTCAGTCCCCAGAATCATAAAAACAAAACAAAACATCCAAAAGTAAAAGGAGACTGTAAAGGATATTTTTTATGTTCAGATGTTCAGATCACTGCACATCTGAAAGGCAAACGTGCAGTTGTACCTAAGTGTCTGTACACTGATCCCTGGCTGAGACTGAAGGAACATGGAGCTACATAAACCTAGAGTAGAGGTTTATAGCAGAAACTAAAGAAGGGGCAGTCTTGCTTTGGGGAATGGCTGCAGCTTTTCAGAAACAGCTCTGCTCTGAAGGGATGCTGCTGACACTATCTACCCCAAGCTGTTGGGGAACACCAGGGCTCTAACAGTAACAGGTGGCACCTCCATTCCAAAGTCTGAAGAAGAGGGTTGGGAAGGCCCATGTTACTCCTTGTTCTCCCTGCTGCCCTCATGGAACCAGAGATGGGACTAGGGTAGGTAAAAAGGGTGTGACACCCCACCTCCTCAACTCGCCGCCGCTCCTCCTTTTGCTCCTCTATTCGACGCTGCCGCTGGTGCAGCAAGTGTTTGATGTGCGCCTCAGGGTCTCGCTGTTGCTGCTGCTGTAGCTGCTGCTGCTGCTTTAAAGCCTCGGAGTTGCTCTTATTCTCCTGCTGGAGCCGGAGGAATTCCCGGCGTAGTGTGGACTCCCCAGGCACATTCATGATGGAGCTGGGCCAGGGTGGCACAAAAGAGCACTGGGGTCAGAGCCTGCTGGTTTCCCCTCACATCTTATTTATCCTGTCCACTTCTTTGGACACTCAGGGACTATGTTTATAAAGGCCTCTACCTCTCTGTACCACCATCGCTAGACTGAATGTCCCCAAACCCAAAGACCACTACAAGATGTGCACAATGGCCCCAATCTCCCGCCTCCACCTGCCAAACTCACCTTGGCTCTCCTTCTTCTCCATGGCTGTCGTCTTCTTCTTCACTGCCGCTATACTCATATTCTGTCTCCTCTGCAGAGGGGAGATCACTGCTGTTTCTTCACCCAGTGCCCCAGACCCCACCCTGGGCTAGGGAAACCTTGGATGAGGACAATCAATAAGGTCTGTCTGGATGACTGAGCACGAGGATCCACCTGTCTCCCTAGATTGATGGGAAGACAGTGGATCTCAGGTTTGGCCTAGAAGAGGTGGGGCCGAGATCCCATAGGAGGCAGGATAGGCAGATGTGCACATGCACTCACAGGCGCACACACTCAATATGAGGCTTTCAAGGGACGGGGAAGGGTGACCCTCATTTGGGAAGCTGACTCAGATTTGGTGATAAAAACTCCAGGGAAGGGCCGGGGATTTAGCTCACTGGTTCCGCCACCCCCCCACCCACCCCCCGCCTCGAAAGCGCAAGGTCCCAAGTTCGATCCCCAGTACCAAAACCAAAACAAAACAAAACTCCAGGGCTGAAAGTCTGGGAAAAGAGATCTCCTTTGATAGGGAGAGCTGGGTCCTGGGAGGAGAACATGAAGGGGAGACCAGAGGAGACAGGGCTGAAATGGAACAAAGGACTGAGGTGCTGACGGGTCTCCTAAGACCCACCGTCTCCTGATGCCTACTGACCTTTCTCACCCCGCTTCTTCCGGGACCGGTCAATGTGGTCCTTGAGCTGGATACGGACCTGCCGCTCTGTGGGCTGGTCTCGGATGAAGGGAAACTTCAGTAGCTGCTCGGTTGGCGGGCGGCTCAGGTAAGTCTTGATGAGACATGTGTCAATGAAGTCGATGAACTTCTTAGACCTGGAAACAGTGGAGGCTCACACTGGCAGGGCCCCCCTTGGAAAGGAGAGGGGTCACCAGAGGAAGAAGGCAGACCATGGATCCAAAAGCCAGCTAGACCTCCCTCCTGGCTTTTCCATATACTGACCCCAGTTGCCACCTGCTACCCCCCTCCTCTTCCATAGTGCAGATCCAAGCCAGAACACAGAACAGGGCTGGGGCGGGGTGGCCCTGCCAAGGACCTTCATTCTCAGACTCCGAACCCTCAAAGACCTACCATTTCTTGGACTTGAGCCTGGGTGGAGGGTTCCGAGGGATAAGGAAGAGGGCTCGCATGGGGTGCATGTCACACAGAGCTGGGACACAGAAGACACACAGTCCCTTTCATCAAAGAATTTCTCCTCAAGGTGACCTCCCAGAACCACCCTTCCCCAGAACCACCCTTCCCCACAGCCACACTCTGGGTTCTCCTTTCTCTTCCATCCTACCCAGGGAAAACTCAGCACTTACGGGGGGCTCCCTCTGCCATCTCAATGGCTGTGATTCCTAAAGACCAAATGTCACTCTAAGGAGGAAAGAGAAAAAGGGACAGGTGAGTATTTTTGGTAATTCTGCCCAGTAACCTCTCTTCATTCACCATTCCCAGCACTTCAGGGTCTACACACCTTCCTGAGGCCCTTTCTCTTCCAAGTCATCTTCCCAACCTTACTTTTCGTACCATAAAAATGTTCTCAACCCCTCACTGGTGACATGTCACCATATCTTCATTTTGTTCCCCAGCCTGCTCATGAGACCAAACTTTTAACCTACCCATCATCCCCATCTCATTTTCTCCCCCTGCTCCCACCCTCCCACTCCATACTCTGTAATCGTAGGTGGCATCAGGGTTCTCGTCACAGGCGATGACCTCTGGAGCCATCCAGTATGGGGTCCCAATAAATGTGTTCCGTCTGCCCACAGTGCGGTCCAGCTGAGCACTCACCCCAAAATCCACTGTGAGACATGGGAAAGGGGTCACCACAGGAGCCCCTTCTGCTTGTCTCACTTCCCTACATGCCCGTGTGTGCCTCACTTAAGGTAGCTGAGGCCCTGTCTCTATCTAGACAACCTCAGTACACTCTTCCACCCATCAGGATTCTGAAGAACCTGACCCAGTCTTCCTGCCTCCTGGGGATCAAGGGTCAGCATCCCAAGCAGCAGGGATCACTGGTGTCCCATTTCCCTCCAAGGGATGCACAGCACCTGGAGCCCAATAGATGGCAGATAAGGAGCTCCTCCAGGATTTTTCAGAGGAGGCAAGAGGGAGACATCACAGGGCAGGAGATGGGAGGGGAGGGAGTGGGCCTACCCAGCACTCAGGCGATTGGACTTAGTTGCAGAAGGAAAAGGGGTCCCCATGCTCTGTCCTAGAGGTGAAAGGGCCTCAGACAGAACCAACGCACCTAGCTTGACCTCAGCATTCTCTGTTAGTAGCACATTCTGTCCCTTGATGTCTCGGTGGATCACTTTATGGGCATGGAGATGAGCCAATCCCTGGGACAGCAGAAGGGAGAAAATCAGCTATAGTGTTAGACTAGATGGGAAGGACTGAGGTGGAGGAGGGTTGAGGGCTGGGCTGAAGGTGGGGACCCTCCCCACCTAGAGCCCAAGTACAGGCTGAGCTGTTCTGGGGGGAGCTTCCTTACAGCAGTGGCTCCCAGTAAGGCTTAGGAGCTGAACTATATATATAGGTGGAAGAGTGATAGAGCTTGGAGACAGGGACTTGTCTCCAATAGCCTGAGAATCTATGTCCATGGAGCAGCCCTGGGATGAAGGGTGGGGGGCTCAAGCTCACCCTGAGAATCTCCCTGCAGATGTAGGCAATGCAGTCCTCCTTCAGAGCATTCCCTTTTGTGTTCTTTACCAGGTCGGTCACTGAACCAGCACCACAGAACTCCATCACCAGCTATGATCCCAGGAAGGCAATATAAGGGAAAGTATTGATCAGGTAAGTCTTCTACCCACTGCCAGATGCCTGGGGGACCAAAGGCCTTGGGGCCAAAACTGGCCTGAGCTGGACAGCAGGAGCCCCATGACCCCTCACCAAGGCCTCAGGACTTCCTGAGATCAGGACAGAAAGGAAAATGAACATAGCTGGAAAGGAGCTGACAAGGTGGGGCTGGGTTCAGAGTAAAAGTCAAAGGAATCTTTGAAATCTTCAATACAATGATGTAGATATGTGCATTTTCCTTGAGGAAGAGTCCAATGCTTTTATCAAAGTTGCTCTGGGACCCCAACCTCAAAATGGTTAAGAATTATTGCTCTGGAGCAGGACTTTCCAAACTATATGACTGGTTCAAGACCTGGTTTTGTATAGCATTCAACTAAGAATGGTTTTTACAATTTTTAATGGTTAAGAGGAAGAAGAATTGTATTTAATGGCACATGAAAATTATTCAAATTTTAGTTACCTAAACGCCTAAAATATTTACTTACTGTCTTGCCTTTCACAGAAAACATTTACCATCCCTGACTCAGAGGCAAGAATGGGGCTGAGAATCAGTGATTCTCCAGATCTACTGGATTACCCCAGAGATGTGCCAAAGAGAATCTAGGAAGACACTTCCTGTCCAAGAATTTTTACTAGAAGCTATATGCAATGTAGAAAAGGACTGGATGGAACACATATATTTGATATTAAGTAAAAATAATTCGCATGTATCCCAAATCTGAGCCTGCCAGTGGGCCAGCAAGGCACAGTAGTAGGAGATGCTGCTCAACAGGTTCAGAAGAAGGCAGCTGGCCACTAGTACCTAACCACGAGTTGTCAATGCTCTCCTACTACATACACCTGGCAGGTAAACCTACCAGTTACCTTTCTTTGTGTGCATGCATCCCCAGAAAACCATGGTTCATGCTTATCTGCACAGGGCATATAGAAGGTGCTTACTAAGTACTTGTCTGGCTGACTGCTAGGAAGGAAGGGAGACCTGGCATGAGTTCCAAATTTCCAGGGGCTGGGGATTTAGCTTAGTGGTGCTGACACCTGCCTTGCAAGCACAAGATCCTGAGTTCGATCCCCAGTACCAAAAAAAAAAAAAGGGCTCCCTACTCTCTTGATGATCTAGAAACACTCACAAAATCATGCAAATCAAGGGGCCCACATCTTTGTGTTCACTTTAAGAATACCTGTGGAACTGCCCAGGCCATCAAGGGTATGCATATCTGAAAGGCCACCAAGTATCTGAAGGATGTCACATTAAAGAATGTGTGCCATTCCAGCATTATAATGTGGAACTGATAGGTATCCCCAGGCCAAACAGTGGGGCTGGACACAGGGTCGGTGGCCCAAAAAGAGTGCTGAATTTTTGCTGCGCATGCTTAAAAATGCAGAAAGTGATGCCAAACTTAAGGGTTTAAATGTAGATTTCCTGGTCATCGAACATTTCCAGGTGAACAAAGCACCCAAGATGTGCCACTGTACTTACAGAGCTCCTCTACCACAGTGAGATAACCCTTACTGAAAAGGAACAAACTGTTCCTAAACCAGAGGAGGAAGTTGGACAGGAAAAAAAGATATTCCAGAAGAAACTGAAGAAATAAAAACTTACGGCGCAGGAATAAATTAAGCATAAAATAAATGCAAATAAAAGTAAATAAATAATCATTTAGAAGGTCTGCGCACTGCCAGACAGTCCTGTCCTTTGCCACAAAGATGTTGATTCTGTGCCTCTCTAGGAACTGTGCTCAAAAGTAGGAGAACTGATGGGTGAAGCTCCCTGTGATGCCTTCCAGCCCTAACCAGTACTCTTTTGTCCACTGTTTATGAAGCATCTATCAGACTGGTGGAGTAAAGGTGGGGGCAAACACCAGGAACCCTGTCACCGAACACGCAAGAGGACTAGAGGCTGTAATGTGTGTACAGGACTGGAGTCGTGAGTCATGAGATACCTCTGGACCCAGAGACAGGAGAGGCTGTGTACACTGAAGGGCGAGCTGGCAGGAAGAGATACTCGGCAGTGACTCTGAGTTCCACATCAGCAGCCTGGAGGCAGGAAGTGTGGAAGGAAGGGGCAGGTGGGAGTTATTTCTCACCCAGAGCTGGTCATCATTCCCAGGGGGGCTCTTCTTGATGAAGGCCCCATAGTAGGTGGCAATGTTGCGGTGGTGAGAATACTTTTTCAACATGTTGATCTCCTGCTTGATCTCTTCCTCCTCGTCCTAGCAGAATGGGAGATGAGCCTTGAGACTCCCACAACTCTCTCTTGATACCCAGCCCTCCCCATGCTGGGCTCCACTCCTTACCTCCGTGACATCCATGACCTTGATGGCAGCCAGCTGCCCAGTCTTGACATGCCGACCCTGTGGGACAGTAAGAGGAGTATGAAGGGATCTGGGTCTATGCTCAGGGAACAGAGTACTAGAGAAGGCTATGTAGTCCAAGCTGGCCTCCAACTTGCAGTGATCCTTCTAACTCAGCCTCCCGAGTGCTGGAATTACACATACACCACCATGCCCAGCCATTCAGCCATTTTCCCTTTTTTTTGGGGGGGGGGGTACCGGGGATTGAACTCTGGTTCTTGGGCTTGCGCAGCAGGCGGCGAAACCACTGAGCTAAATCCCCGGTCCCTTATTCAGCCATTTTCTACTTTAGAATGTGCCTCTTGTTGTGGCTAGACAACTTAGTCCAAATGTTGGTTACAGGAATAGATAGAGGGAAAAGAATTCCCAAGTCATTGTGGTTAAAAGACAAATTACCTAGACTGCACTTCTAAGCTGTAAAAATGAAGCTCAACAACAATGAAGAGTCTCCTATTAAAAACCCAAGGGACCTTCAGGCGTGGTGGTGCACACCTGTGATCCCAGCATTCCGGAGGCTAAGGCAGGAAGATCACCTCGAGTTCGAGGTCAACCTGGGACTAAATAGTGAGTTCAAGACCAGCCTGAACTACATAGCAAGACCTTGTCTCATAGAAAAAATAAAGGAAAAGAAACCAAGGGACACAACTGACACATATTTATGTTCTTTCTTAGCCTCCCTAGATTGAAAATTAGAGTTGGGAGTGAAAGATACTTCTCCATCCTAATGGAGGTACCTAGGGAAAAAGGGACTTTGCTTATGCAAAACAAAATGCACACTTTCCTGGCCAACCCACTCTACACAGGAAGCCTCTCCGAGGATCAATCATACCCCCTAAGGCTTTTTTATTGTTGTCAACAGGGAAAGAATAGAGACACAGGAGAGGTATTAGGGAACCTGGGGAACAGAGGGGCTAGCTGACATATGCCAATGCCTTGTCACCAGACTTATGGGAGGAAACTTCCTCTTCTTTTTTGTTGTAATTTTTTGTTGTTGTTGCTTGTTTATATTTTTGAGACGGGGTCTGCTATGTAGTTCAGGCTGGCCTTGAACTTGTGGCAATCCTCCTGCCTCAGCCTTCCGAGTGCTGGGATCACAGGCGTGTGTCACCATGACTCACTTATAAAACTTTACTGTGCCCTAGTCATTCCCTATCCTCTCCTACCATCCTTCTGAAATCCCTAGAAGGAACCATCAGAGGCTTGAACAGCCCAGTCCAAGGCTTCCTAGGAAGCACAGGGTAGGGGGAAGCAGACTCTCATTTATTTTTGTCCTCAGCAGCCATTCAAGACCCCAAGCCTACAGAAGCAGAAGCACACAGTGCTGCTATTTCCACGGCAACAACTAGGCAAAATATAGGGGGTGGCTGTTTCCCCAAAGCTTACAAGGAAAGGATAGGAGAAAGGCATGTGGTCCCAGTGATCCAGGAAACAGAGGGGACTTATGAAAATACCAAGTGCTGAGTCTGGAGACAGAGGCAGGCTATGTGTTTTAATGAGTCTCCAGCACAGGAGCAGCGGTCAGGCTATGTGAGAGAGCTGGGCTGGCCAGGTTAAAAGCTACAATCAGTGGCCAAGAGAACACCACTTTTGTGGGGAGACAGGCAGCCTCAAAAGCAGAAGGCCTGCTGAGCGTGGTGGAACATACCAATAATCCCAGCACTTGGGAGGCTGAGGCAGGAGGACTGCAGTGAGTTTGAGGCCAGCCTGGGGTTCATAGTGAGTTCAAGGCCAGGCCAGCCTGAACTACATAGCAAGAGCCTGTCTCAAAAAACAAACAAACAAACAAACAAAGCAGAAGCCCTGAGCTCTGGCTTCAGCTCTGTTACAGGCAGCTCAGGAGGTCAAGAAAGCCACTTCCCTCTGTGGGAGGCTACCTGTAAAGGCCACCAATCCTAAATCCTGAGAGGAGCAAAACCCACACTCAGAGCTCTTGAATTCGTAGATGGGATCTGACAGCCACATCCCCATAAACTTCCCACAGCCCTGGTGGTTCTGCCTACTTCCTGTCCCACAGCCACCCAGGTGTAGACTGGTTCCTGCCACACCCAGGACTAGGTCTACATTCAAAAGGCAGAAGCCAGCCAAATGTCACCTTCTAGTTGCTCCCTTTGCTCTCTTCTCTCAGGTTCATCCTTTCTCTCCTTCTCCTTTCCTCCCCCACCCCTTGTGGTCCTGAGGATGAAACTGGGGCCTTAAGCATGCTAAGCAAGTGCTCTACCACTGAGATATATCCTCAGCCCCTTTCCAAGAGGGATTTCAGTCTCTATAATCTCTTGTAGGCCCCCTCAAATCTCCAGACCTGGATGGAACCTGCTTCTGTCCCTTCTTCTCAAGAGAGCACTACAGACATGGAGGTCATACTTCTGTACCATTAGTCTCACCTTGTACACCTGTCCGTAGGTTCCATTGCCAACCACCTCCACCAGCTCAAAGATCCCAGCAGGGTCCTGAGGGAAAGGAATGGAAGACACAAAAAGAGCAAGGTGTCAGCACTTCAAGAAAAGATGATGACACCAGAGGGGAGATGAAGTCTTTGGTCAGGATAGGAGGGTGTAGGAGGACATTACCAGGAGGTTTGCAAGGGAACCCTGATGGCCAGCTGCCCTTTCTCTGGATGGTTCAGAGTTAATATTTCATGGGAAAAGTCAGAAGGAGGGACAACATAGAAGTCAAGAGCCCAGATGGTTTTCAAAAAAAATGTGCTGCCCACTTCAAAAGCTCTGTGTCTGAGGGCTGGGGATTTAGCTCAGTGGCAAGGACCCAAGTTCGATCCCCAGTACCAAGAAAAGAAACAAAACAAAAAACAAAAGTTCTGTGTCTGAATTCTCATCTGAAAATGAGGATGCCTGAGGACCCACCTCTGAAACTGGTATACACTTCAAGTGAGGTAATGCCCATAAAATGCTAAGATGGAGCCTAGCAGTGTGTCCTCAATAAAAGTTAATTATCGTCATTATCATTTTTATTTTAAAGGCAAGGAGAAGCAAAGTTAACAGGGTGGCAGGGCCAGCAGGGAGCCACTCTCCTTTGGTCCTTTTTCTCCCCTCTCTAGTTTTCCTGGCACAAGGGCTTCTGGGTCACAGTTTGAGGCATTCAGGGGCAGGTGAAGGAACCTTCAGGTTAGGAGAGAGCAGGTGACAGTGAGAAAAGGCTTCTGGGCAAGGCAGATGAGCAGGAAGAATTCTCTGTGTCTCCTTTTCTGAGCTAAGCAGTGCTAGGAGGAGAGGGACCAAGGGCTAAACAAAACCTCTCAAGAGGCTCACTCTCCTGCCTGGCCTATGCAGGGCACCTGGCCTCAGGGGCACAGCAGCACAGCTGCCATCCTGTCCCAAGGCCATCTACACCCTCCCTGCAGGCCTATGTCTTTGAGAGAGAGAGAAGAGGGGAGGGGAGGGGAAGGGAGGGAGGGCATTTGGGGAAAAACTTCCCAGGCAACACTTGGCCTCTGTGCTCATCATCCTAACAGTACCGAATGTAGAACTCTTCTCCCTGTTTTTGAAAACCAATTATGAGATTTCTGAAAGTACACACACAAAATCCACAAACAAGCCCCAAACACATGTCATGTATTGAGGTAATATGCACATGCAATACGACTTGAGCATGGTGAAGACCAGGAGAGACCCCCAGCCCTGGGTAATGGGGATGGAACCTAGGTCCTCACACATACCAAGTACTCTCCCACTGAGCCACATCCCCAGCCCTTCCTCAGCCTTCCGAATAGCTGGGATTAACAGATATGCATCACTATAGCTGGCTGAGGCTTTTTTTCTTTTTTGGGGACTGGGGATTGAACTCGGGTCCTTGCACTTGTGCAGCAGGTGGCAAAACCACTGAGCTAAATGCCTGGCCCATGGCTGAGGCTTTTAAAGAATGTCCTACTTGTGCCCTTTGTCCATTTTCTCAGAGAAGAAGCTTGGCTCCCTGGACTGGCCCTATCGTAGAATGTATGACGATGCACTGTGACTGTATGCCAGCAGCTAGCCCAGGCCTGACACTCAGCAGTCTGAGAGAACACACCCAATCTGCCTGAGAATCAGAGAGGGTCTCCTTCTACATGCTTTCACGGAGCCTAGGCTGGCCAGACCCAGAACTTCATGGTCTATATTCAATTATTTCACCCCGGCTGAACAGATGCCAGGTGTGGTGGTGCAAATCTGTGGTGCAAGTGATCACTTCAGGAGTCTGAGGCAGGAGGATCATAAATTCAATCCCAGCCTGGGCAACTTAACAACTTAGTGAGATCCTGTCTCAAAATAAATAAGGGCTGGGGATGTAGCTCAGTGTAAAAGCCCTGGGTTCAATTCTCAGTACTGCAACAACAACAAAACTTATTTTGGTACCAGGGATCGAACTCGGGACCTTGCGCTTGCGAGGCAGGAGGCAGAACCACTGAGCTAAATCCCAGGGACCCAACAAAAACTTTAATAGAGCTGAAAAGTCATTAGGGTTCACAAGAAAGGAAGGCACTGTCACTGCAGGATGATGTAGGGTGAATGAGATGTTTGTGTGAACCTGAGAGCTGCAAGGAACCTGGACGAAGTCTTATCACTTGCAATTCTAGACTCAAGAGGCTTGAAGAGGACACAGTTCCCTAAAGGTCTCCTAAGAGGGCTGGGGATTTAGCTCAGTGGTTTCGCCCGCTGCGCAAGCGCAAGGACCCCAGTTCGATCCCCAGTACAAAAAAAAAAAAAAAAAAAGCATCTCCTAAGAGATGAGCTCATCTGTTCTTCAACCTTGTAACACTCACTGTTGGGAAGTCCTTTCTTGAATCTAACTTTAGTTCTTTCTGCAGTGCAGGGAGGCAGACTTAATAGTCGTGATTTTAATTTTATAATCCAAACTCCCAATTTGTTTCCTTCTATGTTTAGGAGGCACTGAGGCATGAAATAATCTCTGAGGCCAGAGACAGGGTTCATACAGTAACATTTAATGGATTTCAAGCCTGCTTCCTGACCTTGCTTACTCGAGACAGTGATTCAGAGAATCCACCGAGATCACATAAGCGCTGGTCCCCGCACCTCAGTCCCTCCACAGATGCTCCTCAGAGGCTGCTTTTCAACAGCAACACATTTTCTCCATCAAAACCCAGCCTTCGCATCATGCCTGTAGCTCTTCCTCTCTCCTCTACACCACACTCACCCTGTCCTTTTTCTTTTCAAATGTTCCTGGTTTAGTCTCAATTCCTACAGCTGGCACCTCAGACCCATCCCTTCTATCCTCCCTCTTGGTGCTCCTGCCTTCCCACATCTCCCTTCTGCTGCCCCTGACAGATCTAACCCTCCGAACACATGCTCTCCTAATTTTGCTCTTTTGCTCCAAAACCCACACAGCTCCCCACTGCTAGGAGAGGGTTGGGGCACCTCAGCCCTATATTTATGGGATGTTCCATCATTAACCAACTAAGAAATATTTTGAGTGTATACAGTTGCTTATACTAGGCTAGGCCCTAATCTGGAAAAATTGGTAATGTGACCTTATTTTCATTCACCATTAAATATTAATTCAGTACTAACTAGGTGGCAACTACTGAATTAGGCACAATGGGAGCTCAACCATGTATGAGAAAGAAGATAGGCCAAGTATCCAAATATGGACATGAGTCAGGTTTAGTGGTGCATGCCTGTAATCCTAGCACTCAGGAGGCTGAGGCAAGAGAACTGCCAAAGAGTTCAAGGCCAACCTGAAACCTGAACTGCATAGTGAGGCCGTCTCAAAAAACAAACAAAAAACCCCCTCAAAACCCAAAAACCAAAAATCACATATGGACATGTAGCAGTATATGACTGTGCGTCACACAGACACACTATGAAAGTGAAAAGCACTGAAGTGTGGCTTTCTAGTGAGAACTTGGATATCAGCCATGTGTCCCTGAGCAAGCATTTGTTTGGGGCCTTGTTTCTTTTCCCGAAAACTGAGAGGAAGTTGGATCAGATAGAATCTACTTTGCCAGGCTTGGTGGCTCACCTCTGTAATTCCAGCACTCTGGGAAGCTTGGGCAGAAAGGCTGCAAATCAGAGCCCAGCTTGGGCACCTAACAAGTCCTTGCCTCAAAATGGACTTTGAGGCTGGGTGCATTTCCATAGGGATAGAAATGAAGAAGACTGGAGCCTCAGAGGGGGAAAAAGAGAGAAAGGGCGGGGGGAAAGAAGAGTAGAGAGAGCCCTACCGTGATAAGGGACAGTATTTTGGTTTGGACGCTGAGTTTGAGATGAGAGGAGGCCTGGAGAACATGTGTATCAGGCCCTTGAGAAAGAGGATCTGGAGACAGAGTTGTAAAGGCATTCATGAGTGTGAGGGTGCCAGACCCAGAACAGATGTGGAGGTAGCATGGCGAAGGCAGAATACAAGAGCTATGGCTGGCCTCTAAGGAACAGCCGGGGAGGTGTTCCGGGGGAAGACAGGGTGCTGATGATCTCAAGTGTTACAGAGTGGTCAGAAGGCACTGAAAAAATATCCCAGGCTGGGGCCCTAGGGAACCACTGGGAACCTTTGTGGGAACTGCAGCTGTGAGAACAGAGGGCAGAAAACAGGGCTAGAGAAGGTGGGAGTGATGAGGAAGTAAGGATTGCAGGGGCAGCACCCTCTCTAGAGAAGTCTAACTTTGAGAAGAAATCAAATAATGCTTAGAGGTGGCAGCAGGGAGCAGAGGAGAGGGTTTTCTAAATTAGGAAGATAAGCTGGGCGTGGTGACACAGCCTCTGATACCAGCTGGAGGCTGAGGCAGGAGGATCACAGTAAATTCCAGGCCAGTCTGGGCATAGTGAGATTAATGCCAACCTGAACTATATAGTGAGAACTTGTCTTAAACAAAACAAAACAAACAACTGGGAAGATATCTCATGCGTGCAGGAAGGAAGAAGCCAAAAGGGAAGATGACAGAGGAATTCCTTTTTGTTTGTTTACTTTTTGGTTTATTTGAGACAAGGTCTCACTATGTAGCCCAGGCTGGCCTCGAACTTGCAGGGATCTTCCTGCCTCAGCCTCCCAAGTGCTGGGATTATAGGTGTGAATCACCATGCCCATCTAGGAATTGATTTTTTAATAATATATATGTGGCCAGGTATGGTAGCACACACACACCTGTAATCCCAGCACTAGGGAGGCTGATGCAAGAGGACTGCTGAGTTCAAAGCCAGCCTGGACTACATAGCGAGACCTTTTCTCAAAAAATTAAACAAAACCAAAAATATAGATATGTTGTGTGTGTGTATATATGCATGTTTTGTTTTGTTTTGATTTAGTTGTCCTGGAGATCAACCCATGGCCTCAAGCACTCTAGGCAAACACTTTGCCATTGAGCAGCACTCCCAGGCCAGGTATATGTATGTATGCTTTATTCCACAGTATATAAATATTTTCCAACAGTTTTCAGTGGAAAATAAAATAGTGCCTATTTCTCTTTCATACATACTCAAGGATTCAGAATGTCCAGGGACATATAACA